TGAATACAAGTAAAACTAAATTTATGGTAATTTCGCGGAATCGAGTAAATGAGAACGTCTCTGTTGTAATTGATGATGAGACTATTGATCGCGTTCGCAAGATTGAGAAAAGTAGTTCCAAGCAGAGTGGCAACAAGGGCGCTCCTCCGAAGCCCCTGAAACCCCCGAAACCGCCGGATAAAACTGCCCCTAAGAGCAGCACTGCCCGGAACAAACACAGGACGATGGGCGAGGCTCTCATCATCAAGACGGAAGCGTCGAAATACGCGGAAGTCTTGAGGAAGATGAGAGCTTACGAGCGTCTTGTGGAGATGGACAATAACGTGAGGAGCATCAGGCGCACTCGTACTGGCGAGATGCTCCTGGTGCTTAAGCGTGGCGCTAGAGACCAGGGACCGACGTACCAGATACTAGCAAACGAGGTCGTTGGAAATGGGGTGCAGGTAAGATCTCTAGGCTCGACGATCACCATCCAGGTTAAGGACTTGGATGAAATGACAGAGGCGACCGAACTAGCCAAGGCGCTCAGGGAGCAGTACCAAATCGAGGTGCCGCCAACAGCGGTTACCTTGAGGAAGGGACTGTTCTCCACCTAGGTGGCTACCGTTAAGCTCCCGGCAGCTGATGCCAGGAAGGCGGCAGCCACAGGGAGGGTACGAGTGGGCTGGTCGGTTTGCACAGTGAGCATCCCCGACCGGTTATGGCTTGCTTCAGGTGCTTCGGTCAGGGCCATGTGGCTCGGGACTGTAACAACACCGACAGGAGCAAGCTGTGAAGATGGTGCGGCTCGGAGGGCCATAAGGCGCAAGGTTGCCAAAAGCCACCGAGGTGCACTATATGCGCGGAGAAGGGGAAATCCCCTACCAACCACATGGCAGGTGGCCCACGCTGCCCGGGGGCCAAGAGCAATGCTGCCCCGGGTAAGAGCAATGCTCAGCCATGTTCGAGGTAGCGCAGTTGAACCTGAACCATTGCTCGGCTGCCCAGCAACTGTTGTGGCAATCGGCAGAGGAATGGGGAGTGGATGTCGCAATCATCTCCAACCCGTACCGTGTCCCATCCGGCAACGGGAATTGGGTCACGGACGCGTTGGGGATGGCGGCGATATATACGATGGGGAGCTTTGAAGTTCAGGAGGTAGTCGTGTTCAACTCGAGCGAGGAATTGGTGATCGCCAGGGTTAATGGAGTATATTTAAGTAGCTGTTATGCTCTGCCCAGGTGGTCTATCGAGCAGTTCTCGCAGATGGTGGACAGACTCACTGTGGTACTTGTCGGCCTAAAACCGGTGGTCATTGCGGGCGACTTTAACGCATGGGCGGTGGAGTGGGGCAGCTACCACACCAACCAGAGATGATGCATTCTACTGGAGGCAATGGCCAAACTGGATGTTGTACTAGCCAACACCGGCTCGGTCAATACCTACAGAAGGAGTGGTGCAGAATCCGTCATTGATGTTTGGAGGGCAACCTACACTGGAGGGTCGATGAGGGTTACACCCATAGTGACCATCAGGCGATCCGCTACAGTGCGGGGCTAGGTGAGAGGCGAGTGCCAGGAGGGAATCCTTCCTGCGCTCGAGGCTGGCGGACGTCGTTCTTTGATGAAGAGGTCTTCGGCGACGCACTGAGGCAGGAGCGAATAACCCCAGATCTGACGGGGGAAGAACTGGTAGCATCGCTGACAAGGGCGTGCGATACAACCATGCCTAAGGCGGCCTTCAATAAAGAGATCGCCAGGCGCAAGCGTGCATGCTTTGACAGCTTATGCCAAAGCGCCAACACGAACCCATGGGGGCATGCCTACAAAGCGGTCAGCGGCCAAGACCAGTGGCGTGGCGGCACCCCGGGAGAGATCGCCGGCGATGCTGGCGTCGAACGTTGGGTTCTTGTTTCCACGTAGTGACGTAGACTCCTGGCCGCGGATCCCAGTCGCAAATCAGGGAGAAGTGTCTAGAGTGACGAACAGAGAACTGGGCGATATTGCCAAGTCGCTGGTGGTGGGCAAGGCCCCGGGCCCAGATGGGATCCCGGTTGTGGCTCTGAGGGCGGCCGTTGCGGAAAATCCAGACATGTTCCGTTCTGTTTTTCAGACCTGTCTGGACGTAGGCATTTTCCCAGATGCGTGGAAGCGGCAGAGGCTGGTGCTGCTCCCAAAGCCAGGAAAACCCCCTGGGGACCCGTCAGCATACAGGCCCATTTGTTTGTTGGACACCACTGGTAAACTGCTTGAGAGGGTCTCCTAAACAGGTTGTTGGCTTACACTGAAGGTGTAGACGGCCTGTCAAGCAGCCAGTACGGGTTCCGTAAGGGCAGATCTACGGTGGAAGCCATCCGCGGCGTTATCCAGACGGCAGAGGTGGTCCACCGGAAACGAAGGGGCATTCGTTACTGCGCGGTGGTAACCTTAGATGTGAAGAACGCGTTCAACAGCGCGTTCTGGGGGGCGATAGCCCGCTCGCTACACCAGCTCAAAATTCCCGGAAGGGCTGTACAAGATTCTGGAAAGCTAAGTACGACACAGAAGATGGCGAAAAATGCGTTAGAGTCACCGGAGGAGTGCCACAAGGCTCCATCCAACGTCATGTACGATGGATTGTTGAGGATAAGATTCCCAGTAGGCGTGAAAATTGTAGGTTTTGCCGACGATGTCACGCTGGTAGTCTACGGGGAATCCTTCGAGGAGGTAGAGCTGACAGCGGATCACTTCATCAAGCTTGTGGAGGAATGGATGAGATCCAGGAAACTTGCCCATCACAAGACGGAAGTAGTCGTAGTCAACAATTGCATGCCGGTGCAGCATGCGACGTTGACAGTCGGCGAAAGCACAATTAGGTTTGTGCGCTCTCTGAAACTCTTGGGGGTTATGCTCGATGATAAGCTCAGCTTTGGCTGCCACGTCTGCATCTACGGCTGTGGGGGCATTATCCCGCATGATGTCAAACAGCTCGGCTGTGAATGCCAGTAAGCGCAGGCTCCTCGCTGGGGTCGTAGTATCTATCCTCAGATACGGCGGCCCTGCGTGGGCTGCGGTACTGGATATTGACTGTCACAGGCGGAAATTAGAGAGTACACACAGGCTAATGTGCTTGAGGGTGGCCAGTGCATACCGCACCATCTCGAGGGAGGCCGTCTGTGTTATAGCAGGGATGATGCCAATCGGTCTCATCATTAAGGAGGACGTGGTGTGCTATGACGCGAGGACCGTTCGAGGGGTGCGCAACATCGCGCGAGCGGTGTCGATTGCGAGATGGCAGTCGGAATGGGAAAACTCCACAAAGGGGAGGTGGACCTACCACTTGATACCTTCCGTATCAAGCTGGGTCAACAGGCGCCATGGGGAAGTAAACTTCCACCTGTTGCTTTCAGGCCATGGCTGCTTTAGGAGTTACTTGCATAGGTTCGGACATGCAAGTTCTTCCACCTGCCGCGCGTGTGCTGATGTCGAAGAGACGGCCGAACACGTTGTGTTCGCCGCTAGCGATATGTGGAGTGGATACCAGTCCGGATAACATCGTCCCTAGGATGTGTGGTACCACCGAGAACTGGAGCGCGGTGGTGGCTGCGGTCACCCACAAAGTTTCGGAACTACAACGACAGTGGCGTGCCGAGCAGCAGTTGCCTACTGCCCGACTAGATCGATAGAGTATTACTAGAGAAGCGCCATAGCGCTACAGCGGCCCCTCCCACGCAGTAATGCCTTCGGGCGGTTGTGGGGAGGTCAAGGGCCAAGCGCACAGGGTAAGGTTTAGTGGGTCGGGAGTGCAATTCTCCCATCCCCACACCCTGAGTTCATTCTCAGGTGTCTGTGAACAGATTCCTACCGGCATAAACAAACGAACGATTCTCAAAGCAAACTCCTGGCGATAAATTCCAAGAACTTCTTACTAGCCATTCACAGTACTTCCGACGAGAACTTCATCCAGAAGAGCAGCATAATCCATCGCGAATAGGCAACAAGTTTCTTGGCAATGAAATAGGGGCAATAGGATGATGCGGAAAAGTCCGTTGAGGGATTTCATTGTCTTGTCGGCACTTTCAATCACCACCTGAATTTCGCAACTGCCACTCATTGCGTTTTTGTCGAAACTGAGTTTTTCAATGGAAATGGTAGCTCATCACCCATATTTTAAAAATACTGGATGAACTCAACAGCTTTAGTTCTCTCATGCAGTGGTTCATCAGAGAGGGGAAGCTTAGTAACCCCTATCGCCTGCCCATGGCGTCATTCTATCGCGGCATGAGCCAGCAACGCCGGCCATAAACCTACCGTCTCCAACACTCCACAATAAAGCATGAAATAAAGCCCGCCCATCAGCAACAAGGTGCAAAAACTAGCCAAGGGGAGGGTTGAACTCATGAGATCATTCTAAACTCATACGGAATTAGTGCGAAACTATGCCCTGCCTGGTGAAGCAGATTTTGATGGAGACGCAAGGTCAGTTTTAACATTTTGAATCAAAGTAACGAATGCAACTTCAGGCTTAACTTACTTCTAACACTGAACTTCTTGTTATGTTATACGAGTCATAGGAGACACCAAAACACTTTTTTAATTAACCAAGGTTAAAGAAATTCTAATCGCATATAATGTATATATGCCTTCAATCCGTGCACATTTCCGCAAAATGAGCTTAATTGCATTTTGGACAAATAAACCCACGTGCATTCCATATCTTAATATATTTTTTTTTAATAATTTTAATTAAATTCATCCTATCAACCTTTTAATGATATAACTCAATCACATGCCCGTACACATAAACACATAATTCCAATAAGAAAATCATTACATGAACTTTGGAACCGCCTGTTGGCACGAAGCATACATGCCATCGAAGCTTTCCGCTATAACCACGATGAGAAAGCTTGTATTATAGCATAGGACAACTTTTCTCACTTCTCGCTTCTCAACTTCCTGTGGACATCATTTTCTCACGTTCCCACTGTCATCACACGAGGGCTAGTTTGGCACCTTTTGACAGGCACAGATTTCACATAACTCATTCTTCCTTCGCACAAAGTAGGTGTACATTAATTTTGTACGTGTGGAAAACCCACAGGAAAATCTAAAAAAAAATGGATCGAAACAGTCCCAACGAAGTGAAAACCAACGGTCCCAAAGTGAACGGAAACGAAAATGGTGTAAAAACTCCATTTCTGATCGGAGTTGCCGGTGGAACCGCCAGTGGGAAGGTAGGTTCTCTGGCAGATTGTGCACCTTCTTGAAGTGTTTCAACATCTACCCAAACTGTGCATATCTACTACGTACAAGAAGTGGCCTTGAAAATTGATGTACGCTGTGCGACAAAAATATATCTCAATCTGACAACAATCTGCAACAATCGATACCGTTAGGATTATTGTTTGATCGAATTACAGCCGCGTCGCAATTGCAACGAAGCCTTGCCTGGGGAGTGCGATTGAGCAATTTTCCGTTCTGATTTTGAATCGTTCTAGTCGACGGTATGCAAACGTATCATGGAACAGCTGGGCCAAGCAGACATGGATCACGCTCAGCGACAAGTGAGTTAAAGTTCTTCCTCTTTGTTATCTCGCTTTACGTAATGTTGATAGAGATCATTGGCTTTTTTTTTATTGGGAGGTGATTGTGACGCATGTAGTGTTTACATATTTTCTTACGTCTTCTAGGTTGTCTCTATCAGCCAGGATAGTTTCTACCGCGAGCTGACGCCTGCGGAGAAGCTGCGAGCCGAGAAGGGACTGTTCAACTTTGATCATCCGGATGCTTTCAACGAGGAACTGATGCTGGAAACACTGCAGGCCGTACTGCAGGGCCAGAAGGTGGAGATTAATGAGTACGACTACCGTAGCAATGCGGTGTGTCCAGATAAGAAGCTGATTATCTATCCGGCGGATGTAGTGCTGTTTGAGGGAATTTTGGTGTTCTATTTCCCGGAAATTAGGGATCTGTTCCATATGAAGCTGTTTGTCGATACGGATTCTGACACGAGACTGGCTAGAAGAGGTGAGCATCTATTGGGGGAGCAGGTGGGAAACGAAGGGGGATTTCAGCATTTTCAAATGTGTCTAAAAATTATAAAGGTGAAATAAGAATTAAATTAGAATTTAAGAAGCTCTAAGAACTCAGTGTAATGTGTCTTCCATTTAGAATTTAGCGCCTCTGGATGGTAATTTTTTGACGTTGGCTTGTTTATGAAACGGATATGCCCTCCAGTGCCTTAAAAGGATCCGGTGAAGCAAACTATTCTATTTTGAACCCATAAACCAGTTTTTGTGTACCCGTTTATTTTACTGGTGCAAGTCTGAACCGGTAAATGCAGTTTTATATGTAACTAGCTGAGTGTGCCCGGCTTTGCTCGGGATTCAATATTAGCTTGAGTTGATGCGCCAATTAAAAAAAAGTATGCTATATTGTACGTAGCCACCCCCCTCTTATGGTTCCATTTGCTTGATTAGCTCTGGAGTTATGCAGAAATTTCTGTTTCATTTGTATGGGAGCCCCCCCTTTACAGAGGAGGGAGGGGTCTCGAACCATCATAAGAACCTTTCCCTGCCCCAAAAACCCCTGCATACAAATTTTCACACCGATTGGTTCAGTAGTTTCCAAGTCTATAAGGGTCAGACAGACAGACAGACAGAAATTCATTTTTATATATCCGGAGAACTTCGAGATTAGGGCGTAATTGCTTTTGTAAACAAACACGTCAATCACCGATTTCTCGCGAATTAAAGCTCAATTTTGAAAACTAACAACAGAAAGAGGTAGAGGAATGACTCCTCTATCATTTGGTATAAATTGTTTGCGAGATTGAGCATTTATTCGCGAGCAATCGGTGATTAACGTGTTTGCTTACAAAAGCAATTACGCCCAAATCTCAAAGTTCTCCGGATATATAGATAGATAGATAGATAGATAGATAGATAGATAGATAGATAGATAGATAGATAGATAGATAGATAGATAGATAGATAGATAGATAGATAGATAGATAGATAGATAGATAGATAGATAGATAGATAGATAGAAGGTGTATTCATATGATTCATGGAATTTCCCAAACAAAAATGATTGGACAAATGTAAATCGGATTTTTGTACCGTTTAATTTTACCGATTCGAGTCTGAACCGGTACAGGTCACTCTAGGTTTATGTTATGTATTGATTACATTTATTAAACTTTATTTTAATTTTCCAAAAGAATACGGCTGGACACATATAAACCGGATTTCGTGAACCAGTTTATTTTACCGATTTGATTATTAATCGGTAAATGCTATTATATTTTGTGTATTCATTATGCTTATTCAGGGGTTACGCCTACCTGCAAGACCGAAAAAAAAGCGAAAGTTTGGATTTTTTTTTCTCGAAAACGACGCAACATATTGAAAATCGGTTTTCTGCCGTTTATTGAACACACATTAAATGGTACATTTATCAGTCGATGCTGTAAAAACGAGGTCTTGGTGCCCGGCACGGCTCACAGTGGCGGCACTGCGAACAAAAGTCGGACGAAACCTAAAATGTCAATGAAACTGGCTGAAAATGACATATTATGTTAATTTTTGGGTGCTGAGTTCATTTTTGAAGTCAACAACCAATAAAAATGCAAACTAATCCCCCTAAAGTGCGAAATAATCTTTCGGATCAGAATAAATTTAATGACTGATAATTTATTGAGTTATTTCAACACATGATATTTTTAAGTTCATTTTATCTTGTCATCGAATCCGGTAATAATTTAAATAATCAAATATAGGGGCCGTTTAAACATTACGTAAAGCGAAACATTTCAGTTTCCATAGGGAAGATACACAAATGACGTTGCATATTTTTGATCAATTTTAGGTCCCCCCTCCCCCCTCGTAGCGTATTTTTCCATACCTAATACACGGCTGGTCACAACTTCTGAAACCCCCTCCCCTCTAAAATGCTACGTCATTTGTGGATCGTCCCATACCAAATTAAATGTTTCGCGTTACACGATATTTGGACTTTGTTTCCATATTCAATATAAACTAAAATTTACATTCTTTCAGATGTTTTACTCGGGTATTCAGTATGACACTGAAATATTTCATAAGAAAGTACTGTGCTGCTCTTATGTAAAATGCGGATGTTCCTAGAAGCTTGTTCAAACGTCAACCGAATACCAGAGTAGTTTCAAAAGTTTAAATGTGTTGACTTTGATACTGGAAGTTTCCGGTGAACTTTATCCGGCAGGAATTGAAAAAAAAAATAGTAAAACAAGCAGTCGTAAAATGTGTTCTAAACCAAAAGGTAATTGATCTTATATTGAAAAAATGTATTATTTACATTTAATGATTGTTTTTTATTAAATTAGAAATGTTCTTAAAAAGAAAAAACATACTGGAAGCGGTCTATGCTATACCGGATTCGGAAGAAAAGCGTACTGCAATTACTAACTACATTGCAACATATGCTGGAAATATTGATGAAGAATGTAAGGAACATATTTCAATCTTCTATCGAGAGTTCTTGCGCCGATGGAACAACGCAAAACGGATCAAGGAACGCTTCTTAAAAGCAAACGCTGAATGGCTCGAAGATTTTCTTGTGCTTTCTGGACCTAGCTCATCAACATCAGAGGAAGGTAGAAATAAAGGTGGTCGTCCTTCAAAGGAGTTTGACGATAACTGCAACCGAGTCAAGCGTCGCAAAACTGAAGATTTGCGGCGAACATGTAGCTCTAGTAGGTTCATTTTACTCCACCATCATTATATTAATATTTGAAGATATCTATTTCATACTTTTCATAGGTGAGTTGCGGTTTGCTACGGAAGTCGTTTTGCGGTCTGAAGGTCAGAGGGACATTGCAAACATTCTGAAGACTGGTGTCACTTCACAAACGTTGTCTGATGAACAAGCATTAGCTATTTTTATCGATGCAAAGTTATCAAAGCGTAGCTATAATATCGTGAGAGAACCAGCGAAAAACATCTACCCATCGTATGACAAAATCACTGCCGCTAAAAAGAAGTGTTATCCTTCGAACCAATATTTCAATTCTTCAGAAGTACATTGCGAAATTGAATTGCAAGAGCTTCTGAACCACACTACATCAAGATTAATCAATCTTGTAGAGTCAGACTATATGAATTGGAGTCATAAAGATTTACGTCTTATCCTAAAATGGGGAATGGATGGTACAACTTTAACTGAGTACAATCAAAAATTTGAAAAAGCTGGTAGCTCAGACGCTAATGTTATCTTGACATCTCTTGTTCCATTGAAATTGGTTGAAGGGGTAAATGTAATTTGGGAAAACTGTTATCCATCGTCAACCCGATACTGTCGACCAGTTTCAATACAATTAGCTAAGGAAACTAGTGACACAACCCGTCAAGAATATGATCGGATGAATACCGAAATCGCAAAGTTGCACCCGTTTGTTTTAACAATTAACGACACAGAATTCAGTGTCACATTCGAGCTTATCATGAGTATGGTAGATGGTAAAACCATCAATGCCGTAACACACACAACATCCGCCCAAAGATGCTACTTGTGTAAATCAACGTCAGCGGAATTCAACGAAATTGACAAAATGTTGAAAAAGCCTGTTACTCAATTCTTAGATCTGGGTCTAAGCAGTCTACATTGCTGGATAAGATGTTTTGAGTGCCTGTTGCATATCGCTTATCGGCTCAGTTTCTGCAAATGGGTGAAAACTTCTCATATCGAACAATTCAACCGTGCCAAAAAGCGCATACAAGATGAATTCTTCAATAGACTGGGTTTACACATCGACAAACCGCGTTCAGGATTTGGCACCAGCAACAATGGTAATACGGCTAGACGATTCTTCGCCAATGCACAAGTATCTTCGGAGATTACAGGAATTGATTTGGATTTGATACTGCGATTTCGGACTTTACTAACAGCGATTTCTAGTGGTGAGAGCATTGATGTTTCAAAATTCAAGTCATACGCGACGGAAACAGCTCACCACTACGTAAAACTGTATAGTTGGTATCACATGCCAACAACAGTTCATAAATTACTGATTCATGGAAGTGAAATTATCGACCAATCTTCAATTCCAATCGGTATGCTCTCTGAAGAGGCCCAAGAAAGCATGAACAAGGAGATTCGTCGAATGCGTGAAAGCCATTCTTGGAAAGGATCCCGTGAACGGACAATAATTGACATCTTTCATGGATTGTTGGTTGCATCAGATCCAGTTGTATCCAGTTTCCGACACAACAAGCCGAAACCGAAAAGTGATTTCCCAAAGGAAGTGCAAGATTTGTTGATCTTTGATGAAGATGACGATTAAGTAGTAAGGATAATGCTAGTGTTATAAAAGACTAAGAGTGAAAGTAGTATTTTTAAGACACCATTATTTTTCTTAATAAAATTAGCTTAACTGAAACCAAAATGAACCACTTTTGAAAAAAAAATCGATAAAAAACATATAAACTGAATGGATACCCTTCCCAATCCTTTTGTAACATGTCTATTTACTTCTGAATTTCTAATCACCATGGTCCTCCATACCGGTCATTTTATATTAACTCTCGTATGTCCAAATTTTTTATTTGATTCTATATAATTTCTTTCGATAGGCCTTCATGAAAATATGAACAATTGACATATTTTTTTTGATCTAGATCAATTCGGCTGGTCTAGAGCAGTTTTCGTAAAAAAAGATTTGTTTTTTTTAATTTCTTGCATACTATAGCACAGGTTTTCACCAAATTTTGCCAGTTGCGTCTAGAATTAATGAGCGAATTCTGGTAAATTAAAATTTACTTTTTACAGACAAAATCTGAAAAATAATAATTTTTCAGAAAATCATCGAATATTTGTTTTCATCATAACTTAGCAGAAAGGTTTTGCATCGGATTATCTTGAAATGTTCATGGAAATGATAGATAAACAATGTATCTTTCTAACCATGTGCACACCATTTGGTAGAAAATTCAATATGTTTGGTCCCAGCAGTTTAAGCGTACCTTGCCAAAAAGCAGGCTTGGGTGTTA